TGCAGGTGAGAGACAGACTATCATGAATGAGCAACAGAGAGAAGAGTGGATCACAGAGCGTGGGAGGGACAGCAGCATTCAAGGAAGGGCAGTTAGATGGCGCAGTATATAGAGCACCAGCCCTGGAGTCAGAAGGACCTGAGCTCAAATCTGGCCTCAGACACGTGCCAGCTGTGTGACCCTGGGCAACTCACCTAACCCCAACTGCCTTTAAAAAAAACAAAGAAAGAAAGAAAAGAGAATAACACTCAAGGAGGGTGGAAAGACAGGTTGGGCCCAGGTTCTTTAAGAGCCAAATAGAGTCAGAGTATTGATCCTAGAATCAAAAAGAAGCCAGTGGAGTTGGTAGAGAATAGGAATCACATGGTCAGACACGTGTTGTTGTTCAGTCATTTTCAGTCATGAACAACTCGTCATGACCCCATTTGAGTTTTTCTTGGCAAAGATACTGGATTGGTTTGCCATTTCCTTCTCCAGCTCATTTTACAGATGAGGAAACTGAGGCAAACAGGGTGAAGTGACTTGCCCAGGGTCACACAGCTAGTTAAGTGTCTGAGGCTGGATTTGAACTCTGGAAGATCAGTCTTCCTTATTCCAAGCCCAGTTCTCTATCCACTGGGACATCTAGTTGCCCATGTACTTACAGAAAATTCCTTCTTTAGCAGTAGATAGAATGGACTGGAGTGGGGAGAGACTTCAGACTCAGAGGCCAATCAGGAGGTTGCTACAATAATCTGGATGAGGCATTGAAGGCCCGAACTAAGGTGGTGGTGGTGTGAGTAGAGAAGGATCAAATGTGAGAAAAATTGTGAAGGTAGAGACAAGAGGTGACCACTGACTGGAAATGTTAGTTAAGAGGGAATAAACAGTTCAGAATGATGCTGAGGTTATGAACTGAGGAGACTGGAGAAGTGAGAGTGATTTTATCAGAAGCAAAGTCTGGAGGAGGGAAAGATTGGAGGGTAAGGCACAGAGGAAGAGAATGATTTCAGTTTCGGATGTCTCCAGGTCATCCAGTTTAAAACATCCAACAGGCAACTGGTTTCCTGGGATCAATGCTCAGGGAACCCGTACACATGTACTGCCTACGGCCCCTGAGAATATTGAGGGCAATTTTTATTGCTTCCCAGCAGAGCCTCCCAGGAGATTACAGTGTCTCATGTGTAATCGTGGGCTCAAATCTGAGTTTTTATTCACACGATTCAGGTTTGAACCTGGAGAGTCTCCAATAACTTTTTGATTACCCTAGGAACATCTATGTTTGGTTTATTTCTAGCTTTCCACTAGAGCTCTTCAGTTCCCCTGCAAGTTATCAAGCTAACAATAAACATTTAAATATAGAACAGTTTTATTTAAAAACATGTGATGAACAGAGAATGTGTTAGGTTACTTAGAACATGAATAGCTATGGGTTACCCTCTGGTGAGTGCCCTTTCTTTCTTCCTAGATGCCTTGCAGAGCTTTGCTCCAAGTCTCCACAAACTCCTAAAACTAACTAGCCCAGCCCTTTTTGCTGTGGGATTGCAAGTTTCTAGGCCAGCATACTGTCTGCTGCCCTCCTTTTCTCAGGGGTCTGACTTCACTTGTTCTAGGATCTACTTACTGCTTTTATCCCCATCCCAGCTGTCAGCATTACGAGAAAGAATCCTTCTTTCCTGCACTCAGAGAGCTCCCAGGTTGATCAGGGAGGCAGGGTCTCAGCTACTGGGGGCTCTGGGAAAGATAGGAAGCCATCACCCATCTTTATGTGGTGTCTGTCTCTCTGCCTCTGCTCGTCTGTCTGTCTCTCTCTCTCCTACACACAAATATGCACACATACAACATAGGCACACACAAAAGAATAGTGAAAAAGCAGATGAACACCAAGATATAAATTCTCTGAGAGCAGGCCTGCAGACAAGAAGTTAAGTAGCACTCAGCCTTAAGTGGGGTTCATAAGGGGAAGCTTCCTAGAGAAGGGGAAATCTGAGCTGGGTTTAGAAAAGAAGGAGAGGCATGAATTCAGTTGAGAGGGGTGGAGAGGGTGTTTTCAGGTGAATACGGGAACAAATAAGCCAAGAGTTCAGGGAAAGGGGAACAGATCAGTTTAGCTAGGACAGGAAGCCTTTGCAGAGAATTAGCAGAACTGCCCCCATTGATTTAACAAGTTGAAACAGGCCAGATGTCAGGTAGGGAAATTATCCTGGAGCTGATCTTGGCAGCCCAAGAGAGATTTAGCCACTGGTATTGCCTGACTTTTCTACCCTTATTTCTTCCTGAATTCCATCTGCCACCCCGCAGAGAGGCTAGACTCATCATAGCCACCCCTCTTGTCATAGTCCTATAGCAGCTTTCTCACCCACTGGTGTGGCAATGAGAGCACCAAAGACATCACTTCCAACCCACCATTGTCTTTATATAATTGCCAGGGTGTGAGTTCTATATGCTGGGATGGGGGGGGAATGGGGGGAAGGCGGTCAGCTAAGAGGGAGATAATCAGTTAGAAGTTGGACAGTCGGTGCTCAGTCATCTAGGGGAAATCTATCTATCCCTCTATCTATCTATCCATCCTTCCATCTATCTATCCATCTATCTATCCATCTTTTCACCTATCTATCCATCCAGCTATCCATCAATCTATCTATCCATCTATCTATCCATCTATCTATCCATCTATCCATCTATCCATCTATCTATCCATCT